TAAAGTAAACAAATAAATAATTAAGACACAATAACACACCGAATAAATACTAATTCAGAAGTCAAACAACAAAAATCAGCGTTATACCTACAAAATTTTCACAGGACTAGTTTCGATGGTTTTACCGAACCATCATCTTCAGCTGCAAAACCGCAAAATGAAAAGGTTAGTAAACAAATAAATATTAAGCTTTTATTTTTTTGTAAATTTTGATACCCTTTAGATAATTGTTCTTCACTTCATAAATTATGGTTTCATATTTATAATTTCTGCATGCCATCTTACCAGATTTAAACTGATGATCTAAAATCCAGAAAAATCGATAATCCAGTATCGCCGAATTCCTGATGGGTCCAGATTAAAGACTTTTGACTTTAGTTAAGAGGAAATAAAAATAAATTCCTACAAAAAGATAACAGTATCTCATAAAGTCTTTTAGAGTTGATTGATTTATATTCATGTTGCCACCGTTTCTGGGCTCATGTTGCTCTATTTTTAATTAGACTAATTTTTTTATGTCGATTTTTTTTTTTTTTTTTTTTTTTTTGGTCTTCATATTGCTTTGCATTCCTTACTTTTCTAAGCAATTTGAGAATATTGTAGCTCGTTTTTGAAGAACTCGTATTATACTGTACATTTAAATATTTGTGAAAAAACAATAAAACAAACCTAGTTTTTCAAAATGGAAAAATATTTAGGATTGACTAAGTGCAGAAGTGATGATTCACAGCTGCTGGATCCAGGGCAATCTACTATATTTAAAATATTGAAAAGACAAAAAAAAGAATTTAAAAGCATTTTAAATGAAGCTATTAAATTTTTATTGTCACAACCTATTTATGTAAACATAGATTTTCTTCCACATTGCATTTGAAAAATAAACACAAAAAGACCAAACACATAAAGAAATTGGGTACTACTCTTATATATGGCCTCAGGTCGCCAAATGCGGCAATATGTGTTGCGCTCTGTTTTTTGGCACAATCGCGTGTTCTGCGATGGTTTTGAGGGCGATGTGGGTTTCTATGGCAACCCTTTTCATGTGGAAACTTGGATTTGCTAGTTGGTTCATGTGGTGTGTGATAATTAACCCTCTGACTGCTCAATTTGTAGCTTCCAAAATTGTGTATTTTTTTCCACATATTTTAAATCTACCGTATTTATGCGAATCTAATGCGCATCCCCATTTTAAAACTTTAAATAATAAAAAAATTGTTTGTCGACGAATGTAATGCGCATCAATGGTATGAGGAATTTATTGAATCTTATTTTATACAACAATGGATTTTTAATTAACTATCAATCAATGGTATGATACTTTTATTTAAATTTAGATACCATATTTTATACCTTAATGGATTTATACATAAAGTAGCAGAACATAGAATTGACCTATTATAGTGGGCATTGTTATGTGAAACAATCATTGTTAATTACCACTTACCAGTATATAGGTACCTATCGTTAAATAAGAACATGAAATAAATCGTAATATTTCTATCTAGCTAACAGTTTTTCTAGAATCAGTGATTAATAGTAAACGTCTTTATTCATTAATGTTTTCATCACTGGAATCCTCCTAGCTCTCTTCGTCAGAAGCAGATTCATTTCTTCTTTCCTCATCATCGTCATCCTCGGCGTTCCAGAGCACGTCATCTTCACTGCCATTCGATGAATTTGAAATGCAGCATTTCTTGAAAGATTTCATAATCATTGGTGCTTCGATGTTTTTCCAGGCAGCAGAAACCCAGTGTGCAACAATATGCGGTGCAGCACGCTTATTTTGCCTGTCAGGGTCAATTCACGGTTTGGCTCACAAAACAATTTTTTGTACTCTCCGCCTGAACGTACCATTAAAAGGTTTATTTATACTAACATCCAGGGATTGTAACACAGACGTTATCCCTCCAGGAATTATAACAAGATCACTGCCTAGGCTGTGCATCTTCTTTTTTACGTCGTCGGTGAGATGACCACGAACTGCATCAAGACAAAACATTGATGGTGGATTGGAGAGCCCACCGGAACGGCGTTCCCATACATTTCGGAGCCAATCAAGCATTAATGATTCCGTCATCCACCCCTTCTCTTGGTTTCGAATCAGGACATCATCTGGGAATAGCTTTTTATTCTTAGGGGTTTTAGAGATGTTTTCCGTTTGAAGATTAAGAAAAGGGGAAGTTTGCACCCGTCTGCTGTTATTGCCAGCATCACTGTTACGCGTTGTTTTTCACATCCCGAAGTTTTGATGATAACATCCTTAGTCCCATTCTTCGTAATGGTGTAGTTACGAGCATATCAAACCAAACTGGCATCCCGCCAGCGTTGCCAATTTGCCCCATTGAAAAATTCTTTTCCTTCCGAAGTGTGATGACATACCGCTGAAATGTTAGTAGTTTTCCCTCAAAATCTACAGGAAGCTTTTGGCATATTGTTGTACGGCGTCTTAGACATAAGCCCATCCGCTTCATAAACCGATCCACCTATCCATGGCTACCCTTAAACTCTTGTTTCGGTATTCCAAGAACTTCAGCCTCCTCTTTTGCTTTATTTCTTATAGTGTCACTAGTCACAGGTTGTCCATTCTCCCTCCTTTCACGTACAAATTCCAAAACTTTTTCTTCAATTTTAGGGTTTTTCTTCCTTTCTTCGAGGGCCAGTGAATTTCTTTCTACTAGCTTTAGTTGCAAACAGTGCCATTTCTGTTGCCGCCACAAGCGAACATTGCTCTCAGCTACGTTGAACTCTCTCCCTGCCTTTCTATTGCCATTTTTTTTTCAGCATAAAGAATTACTTTACATTTGAAATAGCGTCATATGACATTCTTCTCTGTTTGCCCTCCATTTCTTGACTACGTACTCTGCAGTTTGTATCCTCTATGCAATAATGTGTCAACGATAAATGTAACGGTAAATGTAGTCGAGAAATACAGTAATCCTTTGTTACGATTTAAATTTGAATGACTCTTCGGCAAACTTTGCACTCGAATCTAATGCGCCATCGAATCTAATGCGCACCCTAATTTTGAATACTACATTTGGCCAAAAACGATGCGCATTAGATTCGCATGAATACGGTATATAAAATCGAAAGTCTTTAATCCGGACTCGCCGGGACTTCGGCGATTCCGGATTATCAGTTTTTTCTGATTATAGATCATCAGTTTAAATCTGGTAAGATGGCATGCAGAAATTATAAAATTAAAAATATGAAACCGTAATTTATGAAATAAAGAGCAATTATGATCTAAAGGGTATCAAAATTTACAAGAAAAAAGCTTAATATTTATTTGTTTGTTTTATTAAACATTCTTTCAACGCGCGAATGCGTAAACCATACATTACGCATAGTCGAAATTAGAAAATTGCAACCAGAAAAGTATTTGATGTGTATTCATGATATTCATAATGAAGAGGAATTTGATTTAAATCATATCAAAGACGGAGTACATCGAGATGAAATACTACATTTAGTAATGAATTATAAGCCGAATAAAATAAAAACATCTGCCCTGAAGATAAGGATAGTACTAACAGATCAACTTTCAGTTCATTTCGCGCCATGCCGCGAGGCCCCCCCCCGCAGAGCAGCGTGAAATTGGTGAACAGATTTCGGAATGGTTACAGAAACAAAGGATATGCATTTATCCATTTTTTGCAGCAATTCCACTTTTTGTTTCATGGACAATGGACATCGAAACATGCTTTCGTTTTTTAGATCCTTTGGCAGCTCCAGCATCGGAAATTCTTTTTGTCATAATCGAAAGTTCAAGCTTACTTTTATAAAATTGCCCTAACAGTCTGCAAAAAATAATAAGCCGGATCCAATTAGAAGATTAAGGAACAACGCAATCTGCAACATTAACTGAAATAGATACTGCTTTGCCAGCGAAAGAGACTGGTCACGTGATTTACTGATCGCTCCGATTTGCTTCTCGGAGTGAAAATAGGGAAGATGGGTAGCTGCGGATGAGTTCTGTTGTGCAATACAAAGAGTCTCTTGCTTAAATGCCGACAAGAATAAATAAAAACAAACAACGTATAAAAGGGAGATGCATAAAATGGAAAATTACTGAACAAAAATCAGTTTAAAATTATCACGAGAATAACATACACACACACACAGAATAAAAAACACATTTATAATAAACTTTTAAAACTTATTTTAACGATTGTAATCTAAAATTATTGCTGTAAACATGTCTGAAAAATTAATTACACTAATTATTTACATTAAAAATTAATTATTTGCATTGAAGTCTTTAAAATAGTACAAAATTAAAGAATTTCGGTACTTTTCCGTTGTGCCGGCGCAAACGATAAAGTCGCCAAAAATGGTACGCCAAACGGAATATCTTCGCTGGTAACCTTTTGCGCTTCATTTTCAAAACAAGTCACACCCTTTTCTTATTAGATTGATTGTTTCTTTCAATACTGGCATACAATTACATAGAATGCTTACAAGATAGATAAATTAAGTCACATCGCTCACCCGAAGGCGAAAATATAGAAAAGGCAAAATTAAGGGTTAAATTTATCAATTCTAACGAGAATGCACTGCAGTTTTACATAATTTCTGAGTAAGCTATTCGAACGAATTAAATAATTCTCGCATTTAAACTTGTATTACAGTTCCAAATTAATGTAGATAATTACTGAGAGAATTAGATTTTTGTAGAATAGTTTACGTGTGATGAGATCACTTGGGGTCACGTGATATGAACCAGTGAATCAGGATGTTGAACCATGAAAGCATAGTAAATTCTTAAATTTATGTCTTTTCAATTTATGCCTTATTATTGGCTTTAATTTTAAACCAAATTAAATATTTATGCCTTTAAAATAAAAAATTCTAGAACTACATTTGTAACATTTTTTTGTTATACTGTATTTGTTAACAGTCTGTTTTTGATGTGCCGAAACGAAAGTAAGAATTTTCTTACTTTGGGTTTCATTAAGCAATTATGCAAAAACAATAATAAAAATATTTCAGTTGGAAATTTAACCTTCGTTCTCTGTCGAATCGTCCGAAAAACATTCTGAATCGTCATCATCGTCCAAGGAAATAACTAAAGAGTCGCACATTTCTTCAAGTATACCATCTTTTTCCCAGTAAGCGTTTTCCAAGCTTTCTACGTGTGCACAATAGTTCTTCCATTTTTCAATTGTAACATTTTCTATAGCGTGTTCAGTAAGCTTTAAGAGTTTTTCCATGTTTATATCTGCCGTTATGTTTTGTGCACGAATAAAATGTTTGATATCTGCCCAAACATACTCTATAGCATTTATGTCACAGTGATATGGTGGCAGTCTCAATGCTGTGAATCCATGTTCTTCTAACATGACATCAAATTTATATGTTTTTTTCAGTGGCAAATGTTCTTTAACAATGTTCAACAGTTCGATCTTTCGCATATTTGGTGAGTACACAATATTGTTTGAAGTAAGCCAATCCATTATACTCTGCTTATTATGAGATGAATTTGGGGGCTTGTTCAGTTGCACTGAATGGTAGGGAGCATTGTCTATTACAACAATGGAATCCTTTGGTAAATTCGGAATCAATTTTTCTGTTGCCCATTTCTCAAATATATTCAAATTCATTTGCCCATGGTAATCTCCTGTGCTACAATTAGCTTTATAAATTAAGTTTGTGTTTGGAATAAATCCCATTTCCCCACCTGCGCATAAAACGATGATTCGCCTTGATGCTGCTCCCGTCTCCACAGCTCCGAATACTTCCTCCGACTGCCAACATTTTCCAACCGTCAAATTACTATCGACCCAAGTTTCATCTACAAAAATAAGAGCTCTTTTCTGAATCTGTGAATATTTCTCAAATATCTCGTTCGCGAAAGTACTATATCATTTCGTTCTATGATGACTTTTCTTTAATTTTTACAATTTTTCCAACGGAATCCGATTTCATGAAGTATCTTTTGTAGGGTTTCTTTCTGTCTTGGAAAATTTATTTTTTCCTTTAACTTTATCAGAAATTTTGGAACCATTGGTACCTTTTTCTCCGTCACATAAAACTCGTGGACAGTTCTCCTTATTACATCGAGATCAAATCCGTCTAAAGCCACATTTTCTATCGTTTTCTTTACAGTACGCTTCTTAGGCGAAGGAAAACTGGGGGGATCATTTCGGTTGCCTTCTTTACGAATTCTTCTGATGGTGCTCTCTGATACACCGGCGATAGCAGAAGCTCGTTTAGTAGCATGTGATAATGGGATGCATACAGAACCCTTATCTGCTTCATTATCACAAAATGTAACAACATTGTGCAAAATTCCTTTGGTCGAGCTTCAAAAAGTGTTTGCCTTTTGAATTCGATGATCCTTTGGAATCCATGAGCAAAAAACACAAACAAAAAACACAAAAGTATTAGACAATAATTAATTGTGACTGATACATGATCTTGAGATGGAAAGAACTAAATTTAAACAAGCGCAAAAGGAGAAGCTAAGAACACTCTGAGATCACTGAAGGAAATTCCAAGCAAGTGTATTTTTCCGTCCCTCCAGACCTTCCTTTCTCCCCCCTGGCTTGTTCCATTTTTGGCAGCGCGCCAAACCCAGTCTCTCTCGTTGGACAAGCAGTAGCTTTTAGTCAAAGGCCGTTCCTTACAAGTAAGTCCTTATATTTGAAAATAAAATATAAAGGCCCTTATAGGTGCTTACTTTTTCTTTAAAGCCCTTATTTTTTTTTTTAGTGCTTTTTTTTGCTTTTTTTTTTTTTGCTTTTTTTTTTTTTTTTTTAATCCTTTGTTTTTAATGAAAGCGCATTTTTTCCCCCGTACCAAAGCCGAAACTAAATAAACAACTTTTCTTTCTTATATGCAACGTCAGATGGTGAATCATACTCCCGAAAATTGCTTTCCCCCCTTCCTCTACATTAACGTAACCTATGGTCCGCGCGAGAGTACAGACAGGTGCACGTCGTTCTATTGGCCAAAGAATTGTGAAAACGTAGAAAATTCCGGTACATTCGGTATTCTTTTCCTCCCACCCAAATACTACACACGTTTGAATTTCTATCAAGATTTTAATAATTTGCATTCTCATTCCGCGTGGTCAGTTCATATTCGTGTTTATTATGATCCTTATGCTTATATTATGAGTATATGTATGAATATTTATAATAGCATAGTTGCAGTAACTGCTGAAGTATAGATAAACTTCCAAAAATGGGTGTGTTTTTACACAGATTAGCTTTCTAAGGAATAATATTCGGAATGGCTTAAATAAAAGGAAAGTAATCGAATAGTCAAAATAATTTCATTTTCTTTGCCAATACATTATACAGTACGGAGGTTGGGAGTTTCTCCGCAAAATTTCTGATATTGAAGCAGCGGACTTTTTTTGGTCACTGTCCAATCTGGATTGATAGGACTAAAGTTTTGCGGTATACCCAACCCAAGCGAAAGATTGATTCTATTCCGGAAATTTAATACAGTCTGTTGAAAATTAGATCAGAAACATCCCAGATTAGCGTCTCTTTCTTTTCCATTATTTAGTTCTTTTTTCTTCGAATACCGGCATGTTGATTCCGATTGCGTAAAATCCCATATGGAAGAATTAAGCCGCACGTATTGCCTCAATAACGTTTGCGGTATTTTGCATTGATAATTAATTTTGATGTTCAGTCTGAGATTTGTTTATGAACACTTAAAAGAGTTTTACTGTGCTTTCTAAGCAGAGTATTTCTCAGTTCCGTTGGTTTTTATATGATGCATATATCGAAATGTCAGTTAAATCATTTATTTAGCTTAAATTTAAATCTAAAGAACAGGCTACAATCTCCCTCACTCCTCTTTTTCCAGTTACTATTCGGGAATTTCCGAGTATGCGGGTTAGTTAAGCTTTTACTGTTAAAGGATGACTGAATGAAGCAATTTTCCGTCTTCTGATTTTAGAAATGTGCCTCTTTTTACTTAAATTACTTTGCTTGGGATATATGTTAAGGGAAAAACTGTTATGCAATGAAAATTTAGAAAATGTTCAGAATTTTGATTTAAGTTAAATTATTTAAATATTAATATGAGTGGAAAAATAAATTGTATTTATTATTAGGTGCCAAACGAATACAATTAATATGGCTTATATTATTATTTATTTCTATATTTTCAACTGAAATATCATCATTAAAATTTTGTAATATAGTTAGTTATTGCATAGTTTTTTTTTCTCTCATTGTAAACTAATTCTGTAAATTGAACTGTCATTTAAAAATTAAAAAAAAAAAAAAAAAAAAAAGGTAATTGTTTTCCATTGTTGAGGGTAATGCACATTCTCTTAATAATATTGCATAGCTCATATTTTAAAACACAGTCTAATCTTTTTTCTTTTAAAGGTTATGAAGTTGTGTATAATGTAATTAGACAGGTGCTTATTTTTTCCTTAAAATGTGCTTGAAAAGTGCTTATAGGTGCTTATTTTTTTAACTAAAATGTGGCTATGAACCCTGTGAAATACTCGTGTACGTTTCAAAAATCATACACAGTTGACTTTCCTTCCATTATTTCCTCAAGGAAATGTAATAAATTTGCGATGTGTACCGTCTGTCGTTGCAATTTTTCGATTTCGCATGGTGGAAGAGCAGATGTTCTCAAACATGTGCATACATAAAAACACAAAGACAACATGAGTTGTTTTGAAAAAAATGAAAAATTAAATTTTTCTTCGGAAACAAAGGACCGAAAACTTATTATTGCAGAATGTCTGTTCTCTGCCTTTTTACTGGAGTACGACCTGCCACTGAATGCATCAGATCACACTGCAGCTTTATTTAGAAAAATGTTTCCCGATAGTAAATCGCTAAGAAAAATCTAAGAAATAAATACTCAAGTGGGACTAACACAGGGGCAATTGAAAGTTGTTTTTTTTTTTTTTTTTTTTTTTTTTTTTTTTTTTTTTTTTTAATTTTTTTTTTTTATTTTTTTTTTAAAAAAATAAATCTTTAGTTATTGATTGCATTAAAACTGCTCCGTCCTGCCTCTTTACGAATGGAAGCAATAATACTGATTCAAAACTGTATCCAATTGTTGTTCTTTTTTTAATCCAGAGTCTTCAGAAATTAAGTGAAGTTTACTTTCTGTCTACACTTTAGAAGGACATTCGACAGGCTTTAATATAGCACAGCTAATCATTAAAACTTAAAAAGAAAATGCAGTTCCTCTGGATAATTTGCTTAGCACTTGGTGCCGATAATGCACCAGTGATAATAGGTTTGAAGACTGTTGTTCCAGGCATCTTAAGAAAGGAAAATTCAGATTGCAATTTGATTTTATGAGGTGCACCTGTCACCTCTTAAATTTAGCAACTGAAAAAGGGGCAGCTTCTTTACCAATAAATGTGGATAAAAACATTGTTGATATTTATTATTATCTTGAAAGGAGTTCTAAAAGGAATGAAAAATTGAAACAGTTCCAACAGCTTCATAACTAATATCAGTGATGACGCATTAAAAAAACTTTTATTAACGAAAGCAGGCCTACGTGGCAATTGCTATGAACAAAATTAAAGTTTCTTTCTTAACAAAAGCAAAATCTGCCACTGTTCATAACATTTGTACGAAAACTGATTAAAGTGTCTTTTTTTTTTCCCCCTTAAACGATGCAAGTAATAAAAATGTTTTTTATGTGTAAGGTATTTTTGTGTTGCTTGCATTTAAGAATTAGTAACTATTTAAAGTTAATTCATTATTAAAAACTATATTTTTATCATTTAAAAAAGTCTTTTTAATATTGTGAAAAATCCCCTGATTTCTTAAAAAATTCTCCTGATTTTTGAGTGTCATAGGTTGGCAAGTATGTCATAATTTTGTGAAAAACAAGATAAAATATTAGGATGAGGTTTAAGTTATATTATCTTGTGAATATAGGTTATGATTTTGTTAAGAATAATAGGAATTAGCTATAATTTTATTTCCAGTATAATATAAGCTTATCTACTAATAAATCCCAATGTTAATAAGTTATTAATTAAATTTAATATATATTTCATTTTATCAAGCTTTGTTATTAAAATTGATATATATTTTATGTAAAAACTTTTAGAATTTTATTCTTGCTTACAGGATATTGAAGTAACTGGTGACAAAGATGATAGTCGTTGTCTTCATATAACTATTCATAGGCCATCCAGCATAGCATCGGGTAATATCAGATCTCCTCTTCTTTCTGCTAAATTTGTTTTTGATGATCACATACGATGCATGGCAGCAAAGCAAAGACTTAGCAAAGGCAGACAGAAAGCCCGACAGCGCAAGCTTCATCAGATAGCACGCTTATTAGAACTCCCAGAACATATTCAGCCCTGTCCCTCACCATTAAGACACAGCTTACATTCTGTTAAATCAGCAGATTATTCATCTTGTAAGTTTTTATCTTTCATATATATTTCTGTTGTTAATGTGTTCTTGTAATCGTATGGAAACTGAATTTGAACAACACAGGAACATAATGCCTAATGCAGTATGAAGTCTAAAATCTGGACGTCCAGTATCCAGAATAATTTAAAATCTGACATTCAGACTACAAGCAACACTTCTTTTTCTTCCTAGTTTAGGATTTATTTATTTATTTATTATTATTATTATTATTATTATTATTATTATTATTTTAAGCTTTACTCATGCACATTTGATATTTTTTCGTCATAAAATATCCCAGTTCATAGTTTAACTTTGGTATTAAATAAAATGCCACCCTACTGAAGAAGCAATGATTTATTAGCATAAGTCTATATAATCGATAATTTTGCTCTGTAGCCACCTTTTTGTTTGGCACCTTCTTTGACATCTCAAACCAAGACATTCTGCATCAAAACCTCTTTGATTTTACACCTACTAAATAATTTATATCCCTGATGCCAACCTATTGAATCATTATTTATTATTTTTTGGTTTTATGACTATCAGCACATTGCAGCACTAGAGAAATGACTCTAAACAATTTATGTATATATATATATATATATATATATTGTTTAGAGTCATTTTCTTACTTTATATATATATATAAAGTAAGAAATTTAGAACTAATATTTCACAAAGACCATAAATTGAAATTCATAAATAGTAAATTTCAAATAATCATAGAAATGCAATAATAAATTTAAAAATTTTAAAACTAAAACATTTCAAACAAGCAAAACCTCTTTTCAAAAATTATGAAATTAAAAGAAAAATGAACAAAAACAGGAGAGGAATTTAATCAATCTCAATGTCACTTTATCAGGGGGGAGGAACCTTGAAATTAATTCAAATCTCTCTTCTACAAAAATTCTTGCTTTTCTGTATCTAGAATCAGCCGATGAACCATTTCATTGTATTTAAATTATAATTATAATAGTTCTTCCAAAAATTCTGGCCCTTCCCCAAACCAAGGGGAAAAATTTCTAATTATAAACATTAGAATAATCTGAAATAAAGAGAATTCTATTTCTTTAAAAGAATTGAAAATGAAATTGAAAAACAAAAGTGTAAAAGGAAAACTTCAGTGAAAAATTTTTAAATTTAAATGTGAATCATTAAACAGAAAATCCAATCATCTAAGATGTAGTTGCAAAACCTATTTAGAACAAACATACAAAACGAAATTAAGAACTCCTTTCACTTTCATTCGACTCTAATTTAAATCTGATAGGAGATAGAGAATGATATGCATTTTTTTGCCATCTTGTTTTCTTTGGCGAAACTAAAAAACTTTGGCAAGAAAGTAATTGCTCTAAAGGCTGAAATCTTGTATGTATATGTAATTTTGATTCTAAAAGGAAAATGTTAAAATATTTCAAGGAAAATTTTTATTTTATTTTTTAGTCAAAGAAACAAAAAGCATACTAATTGAATGAAATTAAAGTAAAATTTTTACTCTTGTAAGACTCTTGTAAATTATTTAGTGTAAAACCTAATAAAATTTAGAAAATCTTAAAAAAATAATTCTTTTAACCCTTCGACATGCGTGATATTATTTTAATAATTTTTTTAACTAAAAATTGTAGAAATTGAATGCTATGATCCTAGAGACAAATAATATATGAATTAGAAAAAAACTACTCTTGCCCATTGTTCTGTGGGTGGTGGTTGCACTGTGAAAGCATCGCGCGTCTAGGATTTTGAAACTCACTGAGGTAGTAGGAGGAAAAAACTTACCTTTTTCCATGCCCATTTCCATTAAATGATGAAATTTACGAATTTTTAAAAAATGTGTGTAAGAATTGCATTATATGTAATTTTTTACATTATTTTACAAAGTAAATTGTTAGAAAAAATTTAAAAAATAAACATTTATGTAATTTCTCTATAGCAGTGAAAATATAAGTACCTGCATAATAAGGACGTTCGGATAAATGTATTAAAAAACTCAGTAAAATATAGATAAAAAAACTTTTTTTTTTTTTTTTTTTTTTTTTTTTTTTTTTTTTTTTTTTTTTTTTTTTTTTTTAAATTCCAAAGAACAAATTTTTTTTGTAATACTGTTCGAAGATTGTTTTGTCTTTTTGGTACATGCATAGACCCACATTGCACGTTTTGCACATGTATCTTGTTTCTATGAGGTTTCTTCCTTGTGCTACAAAATGTACACTGCCTGTATCAAAATTTCACTGGTATACGTCCAGCGTTATTTAGTTTCCTCTCATCTGGCACATGAAATTTGTGGGGGAGGGTTATGTTTTTTTGGGGGGCTTGGTTTTTTTGACTTTGGTATGGATCATTCATTTCTGATGCAAAAGCATCAGAAATGAATAAAGAAAGTTTAAAGTTATAAAAAAAATTAGCAGAAATAACAATAGAAGCTCCCTAAGGTTATATACTGTGCAGACATAGAAGACAAAACTTTTTTTAACTTAACCAATTTATTAACAATATATATAATAATACAATAAATAAATTTAGTCAATATCAGAAACTTAAAGAGTGTAACATAATCATTGTCAAATTACACTTAGTTGACTATTAATTAACCCCAAGGGTTTTTCCTTTAAAGAATATTACACTATTAATGATACAGCAAATATATTACCTAATCTTTGAATACTGGCATTCAATACGCGAAAAACATATCACAGAACAAAAACTATGCGATTAATATGAATTTCACTTCACTATAAATAAGTCCATGCTTTTGCCCAAGAAGACACTGAAAAATTAAATTAAACCATGAATGCACTTGAACTGGCAAAAGCCGCTCACGGAAAATCACAGCTTGGAAAAACACTTGTATTAAAGATGCCGCCTTCATGAAACAGGATGCCACCCACGGCAGTTGACCACCGGAAATCACACCTTGGAATTTATCGCCGCGAAACCATAGAACAGGTTGCCGCCCACTGCAGTTGCTTACATCATCGCCGCTTTGCGGAATCCAGGAAAAAACCATCATGGACCGAAACCACTGTACTTATCGCTGGACGCCACGCATCACAATAACGTCTTCCAATGAGCGCTGGAACAGCACACTAAGGAGCAAAAAAAAAAAAACAGGAACAAGAAGGACTAAGCCGGAGCAACACGAGATACTTATACCTGAAGTAGACATGACATCATCTCACGGCAGCCAATCAGCTGTCGGCATGACTCAGCTTTCCAGATGATGTAATATCGAGTTTCGTTTTTGCGTCTTAATTAGGCTGGAACAGTCTGTTCTTAATACGAACAGTGGCAGTGAAAAACAAAGTAGAAATAATTGCTATATCCCTTTAAAAATAAAAACTAAACCTTATGTAAAAGTTAGAATTATTTCAAGAAGGAGAGATGATGCAGAAAAAGGGCATTTGTTGAAAATACAATAGGTCATATTTTCAACAAATGCCCCCCCCCACATCATCACCTCTGACCTGAAATTAAAACTGAACGCCATTATTTTTATAAAAATTCAAAACAAGAATAAATGAATATAAATGTAACAATAAGTTTCAACATACACAAAAAGTTTCAACGTACACAAATCCATTCAATTCAAAAATCCTTAGGCACGATGTGCACATCTTATCCCATTTTTCAAAGCTTTACCATAATACAAAAATCCAAGATGTTACAAAACAATACAAAGACACATGTATGATCATACATTTACCACATTTATTTACATTATCTAGTACTCATCATAATATGACTTACAACATTTTTTTTTTTTTTTTTTTTTTGAATGATACAGTCCAAAAGAGTCAAAAATTGAAACATCTAAACAAAACTCTTAATTTAAAGTTAAATACACACAAAAAGAAATTTCACAAGAAAATTGCTCCACAAAATCTTATCAAGTTATGTTTAGTCAGGGGTTTTGTCATGGGATCAGCCAGATTATCTTTGCTTGGAACATAATTTAGATAAAAAATTTCCCTGTTCAATAATCACGAATGAAGAATAGTTTTACATCTATATGTTTCGTCTTTGAGTTTTCAATGGGTGATTTTGTAAAACGTATAGCAGCCATGTTATCCGCAAACAATATAGGTTTTGAAACATAGTTACTTGCAATTTTAAACTGAATGCATTCATACAAAATGTATTTAAACCAAACCAATTCTTTTGCTGATTCAGTCATGGAAATAAATTTAGCTTCCATAGTAAACAAACTCACTCCCTTTCTTTAAATGTATGCCAAGACACAGGTGATTCTCCCAAAAAAGCTATTTGTCCACCAATAGACACCAAATCGTCTCTGCTTGAAGCAAAATATGAATCTGAATATATATTGAGCTTCAGTTCCTTGCATACCAGTTTAAGTTTGTGATGTCTGGTATTTGAACGTATCCTAAAAGTTTATGTAATCCTTCCCAGTGAAACTTACCATAATTGCTTTGAAACTGAGAAAATATATTAACAGCATAGGCTATATCCGGACGAGTAGGATTGCAAAGAAACGAAAGGCATCCTAAAACATTTCTATAAGGATAATTTATCATTTCAGTCGTTTTTTCTTGTGTACTGAGACTTTGAGTATTTCACACCTTTAACTATTGGAAGGGAAGTAATTTGTATTTTAAAAGACTTGAATCGATTAACTATGTCTTCTATATATAATTGTTGATGAATCAGGACACTATTGTTCTCATATTCAAATTCTACACCAAAGAGCTTTCTTGTTTTACCCAAAATTTTCAAATCAAAATGTAAATTCAGGACTTTTAATATCCTTTTTGATAATTACCTCCTATTAACTTAGCCTTAAAAATAGTTTCATTTTCATCATTAGTAATTTTAATTTGCCCATTTTTACCATAAAATCTTGCTCCATTGGTATCCATCTTAGGTCCAGATATAAAATTTCGTCTCAGTTGAGGTGAGTATAAAACATCTTTAAACAAAATAATTTTATCCCCAAATTTAATTTTAACAGTGCCTTTCCCAAGAATTGGAAAAGTTGCCCCA